GATACATTTGTGGTAAACAATTAATTATTTATGACACACAAATAAGGAAATAGAACAAACACAACACTCTGAAAATAATAAAAGATTATGAGATAGGGCATGCTTAGGACTCAATATTGTTTTTTAATTAAAAAAGAACATGTATCACCACAAATTTGTAGGCCCATACTCTTCAAATATGGATCATGATGAGAAGCTTACTAGGCTATAAGCATAAGGTTAAATTCATTCTCTTATCCTAATTGTACATCTTTGGCTTCAACTTTTTTATGGTACAACAAGCTCTCCATTGTCCAAAAATGAATCCAGCAACCATTCTTGGTTTCAGCTTTCACTCCCTATGGATTGAATTGAATTGAGCTCATTAGGTAAGAAGTATTGGACAGCATGATGCATAGAATTGAGCTCATGGAGAAGCGCTTCGAAGTCCAAGATGTGAATGCTTGGACCAAGAATATCACAGGGGTAATAGTCAAATAATGAAGAGCATTTCGCCATAGCAGAATGTAATTATAAAAGGAGCATGTACTTCATATGTTGAAAAAGAACATGTGGTAGAATGAACCATGAGCCAAGACCGGTTGCGTAAAACTCGCACAAGTGAGAAAAATGCTCTACATTAATATCATATTAATATCTTGATTTATATGATAAAAAATTTTATAAATATCCAATACTATCCCGAAACTTGCAATAATATCTCCCCTCTAGTCGTCCCCATAGCTTTCATTTAGTTTGCACAAGATCATATTGAGCCAGAGTTGCCAAATAAATTTGTTGATCATAAATCGGAGTAAATTAACTAATTATCAAACTTCTAATACTAAAAAAATATAGTAAATCATACAAAATTGTTAATTGGGCATGCAATTAGATCTCATGCAAATCCGGAAACTCAAAAAGAGTAATAAAAAACAATCCATATAATACCTGTTATATCCATACAAATCAATCCATATATTCATAACACAAAAATGCAAAACTTCATACCTGTTCTCAGCATACAAAGAAAGAGGCAAATGGCCAGAGATTGGAGACCCCTACGAGAATAAGCCGCAATCATCGCCGTCCATGTCACAATATTCCTCTGTGGCATTCCATCAAACACTTCCCGTGCATCATCTAACTTCCCACACATATCATACATAATCAGCAGCCTTGTATCTAGGTACGTCGGTGCTCGATAATGAGTCTTGATCATGTGAGAATGAATTAGTTGTCCTTCCCTTAAAGCTTTCTGGTTAACACACTCTGTGATAAGAGCATCATAGCCTCGAAACCTCACATCTGTTCCAAGAATGGACATTTCAAAAAGAGCTTCTTTTAGTCGGCCGTTGAGGCATAGATTTTTGAGATGCGAATCTGGTGGTAGATTCAATTGTGTTGATGGTTGGGAGAGAAATGTATGGGAAGAGAGGGAATAGTATTTGGAGTGGAGTGGATGGAATGGGCTTCTTTTGGCAAGCATTTTTGGCGGGTAAGCGAAACTGATGTAGAAATTTTAATGATTGGGATCCAAAACGCTACAACTATCACACAATTTGTCCCCATCAAACAGAAGGAGAGATTTAAATCATTGAAGAAATCTTAGAGATTCCATACCTAATCTCCCACTTGGAACTGCAGATGGCGATGCTTCGTATCAGCCATCAACTTACAAGTTGCAATTGACGCATTCAGACTGTTAAGAATTTCTTAATGGGTGAGCCGGAGATTGCTAATGAAATTGATAACCTTACAGTGAGGAGGAAACAAGTCTGGAAGAGGAAGGAAATTAATGAGGCTTTGAGGTATGCAATCCTACACAACATGAGAAGTGTCGAACCATGATCTTGTCAGCCCCATGTAGGGGGTGTAAACCAGTTTGAATTGAGTTCAAGCCGCTCCAAGCTTGATTTCGAACTTGATTAATTTTATCAAGTTCGAGCTCGAGTTT